TCTCTCCTGCCCGGGCTGGCTTTGAACCGCGATCCTCAGATCTCAGCCTCCTGAGTAGCTAGGATTACAGGCGTGAGCCACCAGCGCCCAGCTTTAAAAATTATTCTTGCACATGAATTTTCCCAAGAAAAAAAATCCCACAACCTCAATGCAACTCTTCCCACAACTGCACCTTATTTCTCATGTTCATTTAACATTATTCATCTAGACCTTGATCATTCTCACAAAGAACTTATTACCATAAATTCTTGATAACAATAGAATAACAAACCCATTCTGTATATTACACACATATACTACTGAAAAGCTAATTCTCATTTTACACTTTCATAATGAAAATATTTTCTATATAAACAAGGAACTTGGTAACTGAAATCCTAAATAACATGAAATACTTAAGAAGACTGAGCAGCAAGTAACTTGATACCTATTTGAATAGCTAAGATTTATGTACTAGAATACATGTGTTTTTTAAAAGTACACTTATATATTACTTTTCGATAAAGTCTTTAAACTGTTAATTACAAGCAACACATAGTACATAAAACATTGATTTACGTACCTATTAACTCAGCAACTGCACTGAAGGGCCAAGTATGACTTGTTGAGTTTGTATGTAAAAACTTCGGACAAAGCTGAAACAAGACAAATGATTCATGTAAATTCAGGTTTTACTTTTAAGAACAAAAAACAATTATTTTTTTATTGTCTTTGTTTTATTTTTATTTTTTTTTGGTCCGGTCGTGGAGTCTGAACTCTGGGCCTGCGCGCTCTTCAGCTCAAGGCTAGTGCTCTACCACTTGAGCCATAGCACCACTTCCAACTTTTTTTTTTCTGCTTATGTGGTGCTGAGGAATAGAACCCAGGGCCTCATGCATGCAAGGCAAGCCCTCTACCACTGAGCCACCTACTCAGCCCTCTCTCTAGTTTTAAAAATTTGTGTACAAAAACAACTCAGCTATTTATTCCCTAAAGTATAACTTAGAAGTCTGAACCAACAAAAGAGCTTCTATACTAAAACTTGTTTTAAGCTGTCCTCCTGTGGTCCATTCACATCTATCCCCAACAGAAATCAGCCTTGCATGGGCTGGGAAAGTGGCCAGTAGTAGAGTGCTTGCCTTGCATGCCTGAGGCCCTGGGTTCGATTCCTCAGCACCACATAAGCAAAAAGAAAAAAGCCAGAAGTGGTGCTGTGGCTCAAGTGGTAGAGCGTTAGCCTTGAGCTAAAGAGCTGAGGGACAGTGCCCAGGCCCAGAGTTCAGGCCCCACAACCAGACCCCCCAAAAAAAACAAAAAACAAGAAATCAGCCTTGCAAAATCTCTCATTATGTCCAAGGCAAGGCCCAAAAATCACCCAAGCATTTTTTTTTCCTAATACTCCTACTTTGAGACACAACTTTGGCAAGAGTTTTCTCCTTAGTGTGTGTGTGTATGTGTTTTGTCGGTCATGGGGCTTGAACTCTGCGCTCTTCAGCTCAAGGTGAGCGCTCTACTGCTTGAGCCACAGCACTACTTCCAGTTTTCTAGTGGTTTATTGGAGATAAGTATCCTGGACTTTTCTGCCCGGACTGGCTTTGAACCGTGATCCTCAGGTCTCAGCCTCCTCAAGTAGCTAGGATTAAAGGCGTGAGCCACCGGCTCCTGGCGTTAGTGTGTTATTTCTAATGAACCTATATATTTGCTTGATCAAACACTTTGATTTGACTATTATTTACTCCAAATTCATCATGGTTAAACTGGGGGCAATGGAGGCAGTGGAACAGCATGCACTGATACTCTCTTAAACCAGTTCCAATGCAACAAACCATCTTGATTTCTAAGGCTTTTAAATTTGATTTACTCAGTAATATACTATGAAAGAATACTTTGCCAACCAACACCATGCTGTAGAGAACATTCCAATTTCCTGAGTGATGGAAACATCAAAAATATAAAAACAAGGCTGATATATAAAAGTGTGACTCAAGGGCTGGGAAGGTGGCTCAGTGGTAGAGCGCTTGCCTTGCATGCCTGAGGCCCTGGGTTC